TTTTCTCTTTGTCTCATCTCTAGTTTCCATTTTCCTCCTTTTTTTTTTGCCTGTTACATCAGTTTAGTATTTTTTATGGTTCCGTTTAATCATCTTTGTTGATTTTTTTAGTTGTGACTCTGTTTTATTTGAATGGTTACTTTAGAGTTAATAGTGTACATCTCTAACTTACTAAAGTTTACCTGCAAATAATACTAAACTCATTCACATATAGTATAAGAACCTTAAAAGAGTATACTTCCATTTCTTCGTGCTGTTTGTACTACTGTTATGTATATTTACCCACATATATACCATGTCTGATGCTTTTCATTCCTTCGTGGAGATCCATATTTCCATTTCCATTTTTCTACCTGAGGACTTCCTTTAACATTTTTTTTTTTTAATGGTGTAGGTTTGCTCATGATGATTTTTTTTCAGGTTTTGTGTCTAAAAAAGTCTTTATTTCACCTTTGATTTTGGAAGATATTTTTGCTGGGTATAGAATTCTCTGAATATATTTTTTCTCAGTGCTTCAAAGATGTTGCTCAGCTGTTCTCACCTGCATTATTTTTAAGCAAGAAATCTGATATCATTCTTACCTGTCTTCCTTTGTATATGTAACACATCATTTCCTCTGGCTCCTTTTAAGATATTTTTCATCACTGCCTTTTGTTTTTGAAAGATTTTATTTACTTGACAGAGAGAGCACAAACGGGGAGCTGCAGGCAGAGGGAGAGGGAGAAGCAGGCTCCCCGCTGAGCAGAGAGCCCAGTGTGGAACTCCATCCCAGGACCCTGGGATCATGACCTGAGCCAAAGGCAGACGCTTAACCGACTGAGCCACCTAGGCGCCCTTCATCACTGCTTTTGAGCTGTTTGATAATGACATGCCTTGGTGTAATTTTTCATTGTTCATTTGCTTAGTATTAGACGTTTTGGATCTGTAGACTTATAGGGTTTTTCATCTTATTTGGAAAAATTTTGGCCATTATATCATCACATATTTTTGGTCCTTCCTACCTTACATGTATATTAGGGTACTTGAAGTTGTCTCATGGTGTACTGATGTTGTTATGTGCTTTTCTCCCTTTTAGTCTTTTTTTCTGTGCATTTTTCTTTTTTTTTTTTTT